GAATAACACATCCAACTTTGAACTTTAAAGCCCTAGACAAATACCTAATTACAACAGATCTTATTAACCGAATATAACCCACAAATAATCAAAACAAAACAAATTAAAAAAAACAATAATAATTAATAAACAAACCAAACAACTCACTCAACACTCACACCTCCCTAAATCTCCCCACCCCCACCCCTTGGCATTCATTCCAAATCTCAAAATTTAAAAACTCCTATATAAGCAACCCCAAAAAAACCTCCTGGGTTCCACAAATCCCTTCCTTCATATTTTTTTTGGCAAATACATCAAATGGCCTGGCGGGCTCGCGTTCGACATACGCTTGCAGTCGGAAAGCGCTCGTAAAATCCCCAACCTTAGTCAGTCAGCCCTCATTCAGTCGTGCTTGACAACGGTAGAAGGATCTATACCGAAACGTCGCTTTACAGTATTAAAGAAGTTGTTACCCATATTGTGTCTACCTTGACATTTGTGTGATACATATGTGTGTTTAAAGTTGTATTTGACAGCCCGGGTCAAGTCGGAACGCACACAAGCCAAACCATTTTTTTAGAGACTATGTTGAGAATGTAGAGGGAAAAGGGCTTCACTTTGAGCACCGTGTTGTCTTAAAATACCGCGATCTGAGACACTATTAAGTGGTATATAGGTAGATATTATACTAGTCTATAGATGTAAATACATTTGATTATACATCTGTATGATTTTAAGTTGATTTTGACAGCCCGGGCCAAGTCGGACCGAACAATTGTGAGACTGTTGAGAGTATAGGAGAAGGGGTCTCCTTTAACCAACGTGTCTGCTTTAAATACGACGAACAGTGACATTATTAATGGGTATTTACTTAGATATAGTACTAGCTATAAATGGTTGGTTGGTTTGTTGTTTAACGCCGCACTCAGCAATATTACAGCTATATGACGGCGGTCTGTAAATAATCGAGTCTGGACCAGACAATCAAGTGATTGACCTCATGAGCATCGATCCACGTAATTGGGATCGATGACATGAATCAACCAAGCCACGCTTACACACAGCTCAACGTTCTGGTTTTCAAGCGATTTACTCCGAATCACCTGATTACGTGCACGTTTTTGGTTGATGAATGTTCAATAATGTCATGTGTGTATGTTGCATCAATAACATGTAGGTATGGCCGCCGATAATGGAGTAATTAGCCAATAACACTTTGGCCCGTCTTGGCCCGGCCCGACTTTCCCCTACGTTACGACTACCTCGTCAGTTCGAATAAAATCAAATCGCATTTGCTTCGTAGATTCACCATTTAAAAAGAATAGTGGTGTATGTAATTAATTTCTAGCTATATGTTATTTTGTATAATTAATACAAGAACACAATTATATAGAATACACTTTATTATTTCGTATCATTCTCCCGGACTTTCCCTGGCATTGCTCGGACGCTCCCGGACGTTTCCGGACTCCCCCGTGCGTTATTTAGTAGGACCTTGTAATTCTATATATTCTGCCGTTCAGCGATTCCATACCGTATGTTCGGAGTCGCATTTTTTGGCTGAAATGAGATGTTTTCTGTCGTACAAAGGCAACTTTGTACGACACTAATGTTAGCAGACTGCAGCAACTGCAAGCCATGAAATAGTGTGCTTACCGACTGTGTTACGCTACATGACACCGTAACCGACGTGACTCGGCAACCTTGGGCGTGATGTGAATTTGCCGTGGGACGAACATGGCGCAGGAAGAGTAACACCGGCTTCTGTTTGACTGATTTAAATTTCCCTAAAATCGGTACGCTGAACAGCTGGTGTACACGTGGTTATGAAACGTTTCAGGGACGTATCATTCATTTGTCCAGATACAGGCATAATTCCTGGGGCACCAACGCCGGCCATGGAAAACCTTTGTGACTGCTGTGGCACAGCGGGTTGGGATACGCCTGTGGCATGAGAGATGGGTGACGTATTTCTTCCCAGGTAATAGTATTCATATATTTGACAAGTTTGAAGAAACTGTTTCACCGAAAAATAATTTGGAAGTGCCATCTTGCTTGACAATAATGTTTGTTGGTTTGTTGTTTATCGACGCACTGAGCAATATTCCAGCTGTATGACTGCGGTCTGTAAATAATCCAGTCTGGACCAGACAATCCAGTGGCACCATGATCATCTATCTACGCAATCTATCTACGATGACATGCATCAACCAAGTCAGCGAGCCTGATCACCCGATCCCGTGAGTCGGGCTGGGGTGGTCAGGCTCGCTGACTTGGTTGTCTGGCCCGGACTCGATTATTTACACACGGTCAATTAGCTGGAATATTGCTGAGTGCGGCGTAAAACAACAAACCGTCCAACCAACCCTGAGTCGCCCCTTACGACAGCATAGCAAGCATGGGTAGCTGAAGACCTATTCTACAGCAATGAAAAAACGATTTTACCAAGGATACGTTAGATCACGGTGGATAACGTACAGTCGGCTCCTTTGGTCTTTTAGCGAAGTATCTTAGATATATACATACATAGTTTATACAGCATAAACTAGGTCAGTGAACATGTTGAAATTTAAGAATTACTGTCATTGTTTTCCTAAGTAATGTTTAAATACTGTTCTTTATGGTTCAACAGATTCAAGTCAATGTGCAGATGTGCTTGTGGACAAAGAGAATGCGGGGGAGATTGTTGAGATCAGGGACTCGTGATGGCGTACGTGACAGCCATTCAGCTTACTGCAGTGGATATCCCCAATGACCTCCAATGAGACCTTTCAGGTCCACGTGGAAGGACACTTGCTGTTTGAAGGTGACACATTCTAGCAGACTGTGGCAGGCCTTGTGTCAGCAATGTAACGTTTGTAATGCTGTTAATGTTATTTTTTTATGACTGACAAAATTTGGACTCATTCTCAATTCAGAAGGGATGTTAGTCAGTTTGTCAGTGTAAAACAAGATTTGCATATTTATTTTACCTGTCACTGACCTTTTGTAGTAATGGGTAAAAAAACTTAAAATGCCACTGACAATCATTACATCCCATCTTTCACCTGTATTGTTTACGTCATTTGATATTTCCTTTTTTGTAAATTATATTCAGCAACTGTCAGCAGGCAGTTTGTAAATTATGAGAAGATAAGTAAAATAACACTTATCAAATTAGTAGAATTGACTACTTAAAGATTCATAATAATAGCTACCCACTGAGTAGTCATTTTACTATTCTACAGTTGGCTACCGACTAGTCTTATGAGTAAAACATTACTAACTGGTTGGGAAAGTCTACTAACATGTTAGTGTCAGAGTGGACAGTGAAATTCACCGTCAGTAAACTGTACTAACTATTTCTGTCATTGCAGGAATGTGGAAGTAGTCCGTCAGTGTTTGGGTCATTTCAAGAATACAATCACGTGCAAAACGCATGAACGTCAAAATGTGTTCTTTATACGCTTAGGAACGTCTGTGTCGCAGTCAAGTGACCGACCTCTCGTCCATTGGAAAACATCTATATTATGTAAACTTCAGTATTCTTGTACTTCGAGTCAGATGTACGAGGCTAAAGTGTACAACTGCAGGTGAAGACTCAAATCTGTCGTCCAAGGCGCCGAAATTCCCTCTTCAGAGTTGCGTCCCTTGGCCACGAGAGAAAGGCGATGGGTGTGGGTTCGAATCCCGGTACTCCACGGTTATGTTTCTAGGTTTGTCAGCATCATGCCCGTGGCTCGTGGGTTTCTCAGCAAGGGTAAACGTCTGAGACCTGCATCACTTCGGGTTTTCCTCCCACATTAAGCTGACACGCCGGGATACTGTTAAAATAGGCCTCAAACCCAACTCACTCACTCACAACACCATCATCACAATCATGGACACCGAATACAATCCATATTCTACATTGCTCGGAGGTGTAGGGTGTATACAAATTTCACAACTAAGAAAACGTGCGTTTGGTGACATGAAAACCAGTGTTACGTCTCGAGACACCCCGTGGTATAGTTTATAATGTTGTGATAGAGGCCCGCTCTATATGAATGATATGTGTAAGAAAAAAGTGATAAAGTATGTTTATGTATCATGGCAGTGTTGGTTATAGCGGTTCTGTGTCTCTGATACTGCATGTATGTACGAGCATTTAACAATGTAATTGTTGTTTTCAAATTTGAAATAGTACGCGTCAATGCAACTCAACATATACATAGTATATAAATGTGTAATACTATATACAGAATAAAGAGAGCGATGAGATGGCTAAACAAAGATATGTCTTTACAAATATGCCCAATCTATAATTTTGGGATGGAACATGTGCATGCTGTAATGATTTAGACAAGCCAACGTTGCCATATGATTACATTTAAAACGCTCCTTAAAAACAACTGTTGTTTTCACCTACCATGGATATGAACAAGGTCTGTCCCTTCTAAAAATTGCAACGTTTCGATACTGTTGTAAATATTTGTATGTACAAATATGTTTTGTTTGTTGTTTAACGCCGCACTCAGCAATATTCCAACTATATGACGGCGGTCTGTAAGTAATCGAGTCTGGACCAGACCATCCAGTGATTGATCCACGCAATTGGGATACGATGACATGCATCAACCAAGTCAGCGAGCCTAACCACCCGATCCCATGAGTCGCCTCTTACGACAAGCATAGTCGCTTTTTACGCAAGCATGGGTTGCTGAAGACCTATTCTACCCCGGATCTGTATCAATATGTGTTTGTATTTCATGGTATTTTTATTTTCTCCATAGGCTTGTAACCCACAAACGAGATAAATACAATATTACTTGTTTAAAGGTTCATGTCGGTGTTTCGTTTACTTCATTTCAAACCTCTTCAAAGCACGTGAGTCACTCATCCCATCCCTCACCACTTATAACCTCGTCTAACACCGAAGAGATCGCGTTTTAAGTTTGTCATGGTGGAATGGAGATGAGCTAAGTGTCACTGTCACTCGTCCGTGCTGATTGTACCAGTACACCCATTCCGTGTGATATGACATTCAGACAATACAGGAATTACAATGTGGGAAGAATTTATGTTATTATCAACATACGTACCTAGTGTGTATTCAGGTCGAATACGTATCATTACCATATGAAAATAATAAAGAATGACGTGAACATCCATACATACTTTTGCACACAAAGACAATGGATTTGATGATAATAACACAGCCGTGACTGTGACGTTCCACATCCCCGGGACACGGAGCCACACAATTGTGGCAGAGCCTTATATAGAACCTATTTTAGTCGACACTAGCGACAAACATGACATACTGGGGATCTTTTCTCACCTGAAATGTCCACAAGAGTGCGAACATGGAACATTATGATAATCTGACACGTGTGGCCACGTGGTACATGGCAGGGGGAGAAATGAGATATTATTCAACGAATGCAAACCAATAACACCAGTCAGCCTTAGTAATAACCACAAGTAACAAGTCTCTGTTTTGTCCCAACTTCGTGAAATTTGCTGTCGTCCAGAATTTGACCAGTGTTGTGGGAGTGACTGTGTGTATAACTGGTGGTACAGACTGGATACTGAGAACTGATGTCTCGTGTCATCACGCTACTGTCTGGACAAGACCACTGGTAACCACTTGATGTACTGTAACACATCGGCTTATGCAGCGGTTCTAGTGTAGATTGCTGTGACAGCACACATTGAACAGACAATGGTGACAAACGTTCATCAGTTGGGGGTGACTGGTTAGCGCTTAATGGGTTTGTCGTGCTTTCAATCAATCGATGGAGAACACCTTTGTCGGCCAGAAAACTTGCAGATGAATGTGTTTTGGGCTCTGAATGGGACTTCTGCATCTTCATCAGCATGTTGAAGTTGAACTTGTACGTATATCTCTTTCCAGGTACCTTGTTGAGGATAAGACGATCATAATAGTATCGCAGGGCCCGGCTCACTTTATCATATGTCATTTTGGGCTTGTTGCGGCGGAATCCCCAGCGTCTCGCGACCTCTTCCGGGTCAGTCATTCGGAACTCTCCCTCGGAACCTTCCCACTTAATGCACACCTCATTGTCCTGGTCTGTGAGCAGCTCCAAAAGAAATTGCCACAGTTGTACCTGGCCACCACCTGTAAAGCAAACACAACATGTAATATCATGGTCTCAACGTCTCCATGCAGCTGGACAGACCGTGGCGATCCCCGGTCACAACAGAAACTATGGTAGTCGTAAGAGGCTACATTAATTGATCGGGTGTTCAGCTTCGATGACTTGACGACATCGTAACTTGACGACGTGCGTCGTTATTCATAACATCAATAACTGGAATGTCTGCTCCATAGTCGTGTATTTACAAGCCGGCGTCATATAACTAGAATATTGATGCGTACGTGCATGTGTGCGTATACGTTGACATGGGTTTTGGTGATGAAAAGATTATTAGTTTAGTCTCTCCAATAATACGGGACGAAGCAATCGGGGCCTTTAATAAATCACCAGACAATGATTTATTAATTCTTGATTTCTTTAAATATTTAAATATTCCCAAACCTTACACTCATGTTTAATGTATTGTTTGAGAATACGTACTTCCTGGATACTTGGTCAGTTGGAATAAGTAGTCCATAACACCAGCATTGAAATACAAACTGTCCTACAGAGGTATATCAATTCTAAGTAGAGTGAGTAAATTTTATGTAGGTCTATCCTTAACATCTTACAATCGCAAGGAGGCTTTTGACATGAGTATTCCACACTTTTATTTTCCATTTGTAATATTGAGCAATCGAATTAAGGAAAGCTGTGACCCGGGAATCCAGTAGCTGCCTGGCTGACGGAATTGTTTCTTATGATATTCACAGATGCAGCTATCCTCATCTCAGATACTATTGGGGGTTTGCAGAGACGAACTGATGTTTTGGAGAAATATTGCATTGATTATGAATTTAAGATAGAATACCACAAGAGTAATGGTTTCAAGAAGGAGTTGAAGGAGTAGAATTGAAAAATGGTTTTACTGAGGTACTGAGCGTGAGTGTATATCTTTAAAAATACCACGTGGTCCTAGGCTCTAAGATAGACACTCTTGGTTTTGACCTGTATCTAGAATATTTGACTTGAAAATAACCTCACTGTTACTTTATGTAGCGTGTATCGAAATGATAAAATGGAAACTGTACATATATTGGCGTGTAAGCAGTTTCTTGGTGTCAAGATATCTATCCCTAACTACATTGTGCGTGGACAGTGCGACCGATATCTATTATTGTATAACCATGCATACATTGAGATATATACACAGCAAAAAGATGCCCCTTACTGTGTCACCGTCAAGACGAGGGCTGCAGAGTGTAAGCATGGCAGGGGAAACCCCCAAGACGCCTCCAAACCTGGAAGGCATGTCACGTTAGCAACACCAGAAACGACCACCGGCAAATTACTGAGCATCATACTGCTTTGTTCTATAGGCATTGCCAAGGTGAAAGTGCATTTCCAATGTCACAGAAACTTTGGCAATGAAGGAAGTATCAGCTCGTTGGGTTCAAAAGCCTCCGTCTTCTGATCACAAACGCACCAGACACAATATGCCATGTCTCGTGATACTCTACCTCTGTTTGATGCTGAACCAGAAAGGTTCTTGCAACGATTTCTGACTGGTTGAAAGCTTGTTTCACCACGTCCAGCCTGGTTGACAACAACAATCAAAACAGTAGAAGCATTTTTACATCACAACCACAAAAAAGGCTAGGATTGTCCTATCTGCTGGAACGGTTATGGCTTCTGCGATGCCACGTTAGTCGTTACGGCAGACTTTCATTCAAAGGCCATACAGGGCTAGGGTAAGGCGTGTAATGGCAGGTTTTCATGATATAGCGCAATTTCCGAACGTGATCGGGGCAAATGACTTCACACACATACCTATCTCAACTCAGAGTGGAACAGATGTACTGAGTTTTGTGAACCGGAAAGGGTTTTCCTCTGTCCACTAACAGGTGATCTGTGATCATTTGCCTTTTATAATCAAATACACTGTAGCTAGATGGCCTGGGTGCAGTCACGACTCTAGAATTTTGCAGCAGGTGAGCAGCATTAAAGACAAGTTTGAAAACGGCGCTATCCAGGGTTACCTATCAGGGGATCCTGGGTATCCATGTTTGCCATACTTGCTCACTCCTATCAAGAATCCGCGTACCGACACTGAGAAACGCTACAGCCCATCGCAAAGGAATACAAAGGCTTAGATTGAGAGATTGTATGGCATTTGAAAACGTCGTTTTCCAGGCCTGTATTTTGGCCTTCCCTTGAAACTTGATACATTTCTTTTGCATCATCATCATTTCTTAGCATGTGCTGTGTTGCAGAATATTGCAATGATCAGAAATTACACTGACTTTGACCATGGCGATGATGACGAAATCGATTATGACGACCACAACGACGAAACGTTGACGCAGCTGCACTCCGACGACTAAAGGTGAGGCAGTGACAGACAGTGATCGCGCAGTTTTTCACATAGACTGCTGTGACCCCATGACACCAAATATTGCGAAATGGTGAAATTTGATAGAATCAGAATTCGCCCGACAATTTTTATATCGTTAGTAAATGCGTATAATCGATGATAGATGAACTATATTTGTTCACTAATTTGTAGATGTTTTACTTGAGGCAGTGACGGCATGACTCATGTTTACTCTCCCTCCAGTTATTACCCTGTTTGACTTTTGATTGAACTTCCCCGTTTCTGTATCAAGCATGTGACATTAATTTTTTTCATATGTATTTTACACTGCATTGAACACAACCTGCTTGAACATGTGCACTGCACTATTATAACTGGGGATAATTGAATCTCGTTCGGTGTAAGATCATATAATTTTGTTATCTCTTTGTTTTATCTAAGTATTCCTGTGATGGGCAGAATATTACTTATATCAGGCCTATGGTATGGATTGCTAGCACATGTAAGTGATGACGAAAGAATCTTGTTTACATGAGATTACTTGATAGAATTTACAATGAGCTTACCTGCCAGTAGAAGTGATGCAATTTGTCTCAGATCTGTCACTTGGTTGTTATGACATTCTTCAGTAGTAGACTGTTTCGCCGCTGAAGAACAAAACGTAAATTAGCGTACATATCATTGAAGATTATTTCTGAATTCGAGTTCCTTACTTCCTGAGGCACCAAATATTGATTTACTGTGCCTTTATATCATCTGTCATATTATGAAATGAATTTCAATATGCAGCATTGCTACCTGTAGGTTTGACGGTGCTAAATGTCATTTGAAACAGAGCTGACAGCATGATAGTGGTTAGTGTGTTAAATTTAGCGTCGTTGTCCATGACACAAAATAAAGTGCGAACTCTCTTGGTTTTAGTGAAGGTACTGATTGAGGCTGAAGTTAAATACACACATATGTGTACGCATACGCAGGAGAAGCATTGCAGGTGTGTTCGCTTAACTTCACGTGGACACCCCTAATATAAATGAATTGAACCTTTCAATGTTTAGTTTGAAACGGTACAGCCTATTTAAATCAAAATATTCTACCAACAGAGTAGCGTAGATTTACGATGATTATTTAATACTGCTACATTCCCCAAGTTGTTTTTCAACGTTCCCTTAAATCATTTACATCATGTAATCATATAGTGTAGGGACCGCGGCTCTATATTGTCTACGTTACAATTACCAAATTATGAATATAATTATTTGAAACTGCCGACCACGATTGCAACAACAGTACTCATTCAAATTAGTGTTGGCTTCCGAGGTGACGCTGTCGTCCTCTTATCTGCTTTGATCAGGGCTTCTTATTGTGAATTGACCGTTTAGAATTGAGTATTTTCTAAATAAACGTGACAAAAGCATTTCCATAATCATAAGAAATCCCCACTAAAAACAGAGTCTATTGTACGATGCCGACGATATCCTGAGCGTATGTTATAACATCACTATCAAATATTGATGACAGCAGGCGTTCGGAAAAGGGTGAGCGTATCCCGCCCCACCAGTGGCCTCGTCACACGCACATGTATAGGCAAGTCAATTGTTCACCTAAAAAACACAGGAACGTATGATTCAAGTCAAACTAGAGTGATTGCATCGGACATCATTCTTGTTACTGATGCGTCAAATTTGGAAATGTCCCCCACATGTTTACCATAAAACCTTTTTTATAGCGTTAACGAGGCTTTAAATGTTATAACCCTGATCAAACAACTTTTGAGCAAGGGTCGTATACAAGCTTTAAAATCTTCGGAGAATCACCATTGTCATATATAATCTTGTTGAATCTTTATGCACAAAACCTAAATATGAAGTTCAAGTGGGTAAATTAGTTAAAAAGAATTGGCTATGTTACCATCAATGGACGATATCAATCATCGATATTCGTGAAGCTTTAGATAATCTTTTTGGCCTCAATAGGAAGGGGAGCACAAGTGATGGCCATGGGGGGTGCCTACTTCTCGCCTACATGTCTCCCCCAAATTTCACATAGATGTAATCAACGGGGAAGTCCAGCATTTCACATGTTGTTTTCTCATTGAACTTCAGATTTACTTTTCTTTTTGACAAGTTATCCTGAACCTCGGTAAATGAGCGGTAACTGTATCACATGATCACATGGTATTAATTCCACTTGTCCCAAATACTCTCTGTGAATAGAAAGTGTCCTTCCGTAATAGTGTTGAGGATTAAGGTGAATGTTTATGACCGAGCAATGCATCTGTTTTTTTTTGGTACGGATGTTTAAAAGAAAGGGTAGAGACGTGGTCTATCTGAGGACGTGAGACTTACAGAGGTGTGTGTACTTCGGCGACGGGAAAGTCTGTTCATTCCGTTGTGCATTACCAACTTCAGGGAGTGTGAATGTATCTGGAAAAGAAGCGGGGCAAGCATCTGAGAATGTTGAACATGTTTCTTCTCATACATCTAAATATCTAGCAAACTCTATTGTGTAAGATAGGCTTCATTTGGTATTCGCATCAACTAAACATTAAGTTCGATCTTTAATAAACATCTGTTATTGTCACTGACAATCTTAGTATATCACTGTGTATATTAATGTGGCATCGTACCTACCTTGACCATCGTGCACAATATAGTCCATAATGTCGTTCAGCAAGTTTCCTGTGTCGGCCGCTTCACCCGATCTACACGTTGATGCCTCTGTGGTGTGGTTTGTCTGGCACAGCCCGACGAGGAGACTGCCGTCTGTGTTGTCGCGGCCATAGCAGTGCCCCATCGCCCTGCGTTCCATGTGCTCCTCGTATGATGGAGGGCGCTTAAGGTGAAGTGGGTTGACAGGGGTCAAGTCCGTCCTTTCGTAAGGATACGTAACTTCCGGAGATGGTGGACTATCGAACGAGACGAACGTACATGCCGGAAGTGACTGCAAGTAGTGGAGATCTGATGCCCCCAGTAGATGCAGGTCAGCCTGGTCTGTGAACGCCGTCAGCGGAAACTCACTGGGGCGCTCTGTCATTGTCTCCTTCTGGTCTGATTAAAGTAACAAGTGTTTAAAGGAAGGAATGGTGTTATTTTAGTTATTAATGAAGTCAATGCAGACGTCACTGTGGTAAATCGCTTATTATTTGTACATAGAGGAATAGGTAAATCCGATACAAAATTGAGAATTAAGCGCAAAGAAACATTGCACTGTTTTTGTTTTGACATCGTAATAACAAATATACGTAATGCCAACAGCAATACACATTGATCGTGCACAGTTGAACCAGCATTAGTGAATTCTGGCAGAGATAAAGGGGCAACATTTACTTCCGACTTGAGCCCTTAATACGCTGTGCAAGCTGTTGTAAAATCACAAAATGTCATTGCGAACTAGGCCGTAAGACCCTCACACCTAAGATTGGGGATGGGGAGTAGCCGTTGTAGTCTTGTGTGTCTGAACCGTCACCCACGCACAAGGTTTTTCCCGTGTGCTGTGCTGCGTCAGAGGGTCGTACGAGGGGTGACTCAAGCCGTCAGTCTTTCCCGTTGATTTTCATGTGTGCATATTAACAACTCATACATTATATGACAGAAAGAAGAGATGTGAAATAGGGAAACGTACGTACATTAACATTGCCCACCCAAACAATTTTGTTTCCTACATATATGCTTGTACATTCATAAAGAAGTTTTCGTTGACATGATTAGGTAAAGCATCATTGCCAGCCAGCCCCAAGTCAATATTAACATCACAAGTATCCTTCATACTTAACAGCTGATGTAAAAACTGAACATTCAATGAAAAAATATTCACATGGGATGATAGGCAGTTTGGATCGTAATATTTATTATTGTTTTGTTTGCTCTTCTGGTTAAATTTGAGACAACGATTCTAGCCTGCTGCGAGTACTACTTTCAGGGAAAGTCATGAAGATCTTCAACACCGCCATTTCTTTAACCAAATGTTACATTTGCTCTGTATTTGTTGCACGAGCCTGCATGTCCGCCACATAGTCGCCCTACCTTGTAACATGTGCGTGATGCTCCCAACGCGACAGCCTTCCCTGTAACATTCGCGTGATGCTCCCAACGCGACAGCCTTCCCTGTAACATTCGCGTGATACTCCCAACGCGACAGCCTTCCCTGTAACGCGTGCATAATGCTCCCAACACGACAGCCATCCCTGTAACATGTGCGTGATGCTCACAACGAGAAAGCCTTCCCTGCAACGCGTGCGTGATGCTCACGAGACAGCCTTCCCTGTAACGTGTCCGTGATGCTCACGAGACAGCCTTCTCTGTAACGCGTGCGTGATGCTCACAACGAGACAGCCTTCCCTGTAACGTGTCCGTGATGCTCACAACGAGACAGCCTTCCCTGTAACGCGTGCGTGATGCTCACAACGAGACAGCCTTCCCTGTAACGTGTCCGTGATGCTCACAACGCGACGGCCTTCCCTATAACGCGTGCGTGATGCTCACAACGAGACAGCCTACCCTGTAACGCGTGCGTGATGCTCACAACGAGACAGCCTTCCATGTAACGCGTCCGTGATGCTCACAACGAGACAGCCTTCCCTGTAACGCGTGCGTGATGCTCACAACACGACAGCCATCCCTGTAACGCGTGCGTGATGCTCACAACGAGACAGCCTTCCCTGTAACGCGTGCGTGATGCTCCCAACACGACAGCCATCCCTGTAACATGTGCGTGATGCTCACAACGAGACAGCCTTCCATGTAACGCGTGCGTGATGCTCACAACGAGACAGCCTTCCCTGTAACGTGTCCGTGATGCTCACAACGCGACGGCCTTCCCTGTAACATGTGCGTGATGCTCACAACGCGACGGCCTTGAGCGGGATACAACGTAGCCCGTTGTGGGCATACAGGATATTTACTGTCAAGTCTGACATTCTGAAGGATTAAAGGGAGTATCTGGTGCTGATTTCAGTCTTGTTGGTCGATTACTGAACCACTGACCATATCCTCCAAACTGTTGATAATGTACCCCCATCTTTTGTTTTTATTACCAAACTGTTGACAATGTACCCTCATCTTTTGTTTTCATTACCAATATTACTTGTAACGAAATTGGTACAGTTCTGTTTTAAGGAATAAACAATGCTGGTTGATAACGGTTTATTATGCTCGTCTGTTTATAGGGGAAACTCACAATACGACATCGTTGTATGTAATATTGGGGGCGGGGGTGGGCTGGGCATATAACATGTAGGGGATGGTTACAGCTCGACACCAACTGTATTTCTTTGTAATGACACAGACAAAGGCGGTGGCGTTTAATTGAAGAAAATAGTTAAATATCTTCCATACAATGTTGCAAGGTGAAGACCGTTTTGTATAAAGAAAAAATATTTTAACCGAATTGCATAAGATAATATACAGTGTATAGCCACGCTGTAACGTGTAAAGGGATACCAGGTGGGCAGTGCATATATCATATAAAAGACATGCAGGGCAATTCACAGTATAAAATCGGTCTATCAGGCTTGATAGCTTAAAGTACTGTTCAACATCAAGTAGGGTAGTACACTGAAACTTAGCTAACTGGAAGGCCTTTTGATATATCGACTGTACATCCAGACAAGTGTTATGCCGACATTAGATTATAGTGTCGATAAGGATTCTGCCAGGTGCAGAAAGTGAAATCACCTTAAACAATATCGAGGAAACGGGGTTTCACTGTAAAGTAATATTTTAATTTTATTAACACGTGTTGCCATGTGTATACTCGAACCCGGGCGTGGAGAACTAACACTTATACCACCACCCTCTAACCCATTACGTCAAGCAAATTACAGCTGTATAGCATAACGTACAACTCAAGTGGGACTATGTTGCATCCAGTAAATGTGCTGTAAAATTATATCAAGAGACAAGTGACATTAAAAATCATAAAGTAATCATGTATATATCGAACGCAGCCTACCTGGCAGCAGTGTCAAATGTGTAACCTGCCCGTCGTGGCTGCAGCTTGGGTACCGGGGAAGTACAGTGGTACAGTCGAGAACCTCTACTACAATGTAAACAGATGACAAGTGGGCCGGCTTTTACAGAGGTCTCCGGAAAAAGCCGTGACAACGTATGAGTCACATTTTGTCGATACAGAGTGAGGGGGTGTGTGAAAGCCGACATCATATCAATCGTATCTTAGTCGTCATGGGATATTTAGTCTTATTAAAACTATAATAAGAAGCCGTTGTCATTCCTACCATCGCGAGCCTCGCGAAATAACAGTAGCTTTGTGTTCCTGTGAGACCCCAGATTTGCCGCACCCGTCCCGAGTTACCGTTCCTGGCTAGCTTGTTGCTGGATGCTGGAAGTTGTGAGTCCGCCCGGTCAGTGTAACCATCCTGCCCCCACGGCAATCCCCCTCATTTGTGTTACCTTTCCCACTTTCTCATGCTAAAATATGCCTGCGAGATTAATTTAGTTTGTTTGGGAAGAGTTCACGTGAATATCTTGATCCGGTTAAGCTTTTGATTCGATAAGTTACAGATTACTGGGGCTTATTTTGTAGACAATTAAGGACTTGGTGTACGCAGAGCGCAAAACTGTATCAGTCAAAGGATGTGCATATGTAACCGTCAATCCAGAGCTTGCCTTCAATCAACAGTTACACAAACTAGACACTTGCTGCCTGGAGACCACAACACCCACCCCAATATACATGCAGGAACCTGGGCTCTACGCCCGGTGACACAACCATACTGCTCAGTTAAAAGAGTTCTTCCTGCATTCAAACTTATAAACATTCTATATAAAATATGGATTAATTTATACAGACATGTATCATCTAACTAATTCCTTTGTCCATGATATAGATTCATGACATAAAGACATGCATGTCATAAAGACATGCTTGTCAGACCCCAAAGATTGTGCACGCCAGCAAATGTTTACAAACAACAAAACAATATGGATTCCTTTGATGTTGGAAACAACATTTTAATAGATCAGAGGGTGCGGGCGACAGTGCTATCTATGTTGCCAAATTGTTATAAAGGCCACCATCTGGTTACAGATGTATTGTAGTTGAAGTTGACTGTCAAAGATAGTTGTGTCCGATAGATACATGTATGTCACAATAATGCATATGACGAGCTGTTTTGCATCAGCACATACTTTCTGCCGTCTAATTCTTGTGACCCGCGTATTGAAACAATCACAACACTCACGCACCCTCGTGAAAATCAAGCCGGGCTCTCGACGGCAAAGCGATTTACAATCACTCTGCTCGTACGCACCCTGTCAAGATGTTGAATGACATCAATGTTGACCAAATCAAAACTTGCCGATAACTGGTTACAAGAACGGCCATTCTGTGAATAACTACTGTCACCATAAATCCTTAGACACCAATACCAATACTTATAAACCAATACAAACGAAAATGTCACGATGCATTCCATCGAAAGAACGGAACACAGTAACATCCCAGCTTGATTTGTTGCTGATACGCACAGCGTATTTCTGTTGCTTCACACGGTATAGGAATATATAGGAATCTCTACGCCTAACCATTCGTAAGACTGATAAAAAAACAACTTTAAATGTACTAGTATCTGTTTCTAAAGGTGAAACACTTGAAGGCGGAAATTATTAAACGAATGCAACACTCGTAATAAACACTCGTGGCGGTGTTTTCTCTGTATGTCCCTTAATGCAATCAAATATGAGTTTGTATGTAGACTTAAACAAAGCTACACCTGGCAGGTTGTATGAAACGGCATTTCCGTTATCTGACTTTTTGTATGAACGGGCACTTCAGCAGATAATATGGATGAACGAGCGCCTATCTGACAGGTTGTATGAACGGGCACTTCAGCAGATAATACGGATGGACGAGTGCTCATCTGACAGGTTGCATGAACGGGCACTTCAGCAGATAATATGGATGAACGAGCGCTTATCTGACAGGTTGTATGAACGGGCACCAGCAGATGATATGGATGAACGAGCGCTCATCTGACAGGTTGTATGAACGGGCACTTCAGCAGATAATATGGATGAACGAGCAACCATCTGACAGGTTGTATGAACGGGCACTTCAGCAGATAATATGGATGAACGAGCGCCCATCTGACAGGTTGTATGAACGGGCACTTTAGCAGATAATATGGATGAACGAGCGCCCATCTGACAGGTTGTATGAACGGGCACTTCAGCAGATAATATGGATGAACGAGCGCCCATCTGACAGGTTGTATGAACGGGCACTTCAGCAGATAATATGGATGAACGAGCGCCCATCTGACAGGTTGTATGAACGGGCACTTCAGCAGATAATATGGATGAACGAGCGCCCATCTGACAGGTTGTATGAACGGGCACTTTTTATATGTGACATGATGCACGAACTGGTGGTCCATCATCACACATTGTGTAGTGTGGTGGTCGATCATCACACATTGTGTAGTGTGGTTGCCATCATCACACATTGTGTAGTGTGGTGGTCCATCATCACACATAGTGTAGTGTGGTGGTCTACATTCACTCATTGTGTAGTGTGGTGGTCTACATTCACACATTGTGTAGTGTGGTGGTCCATCATCGCACATTGTGTAGTGTGGTGGTCCATCATCACACATTGTGTAGTGTGGTGGTCTACATTCACACATTGTGTAGTGTGGTGGTCCATCATCACACATTGTGTAGTGTGGTGGTCTACATTCACACATTGTGTAGTGTGGTGGTCCATCATCACACATTGCGTAGTGTGGTGGTCTACATTCACACATTGTGTGGTGTGGTGGTCCATGATCACACAGTTAGTAGGGACGATACTATTACTGATGTGAAATATACTGAGCTGTATGTAATGGACGAGAATTGAAACTGTCAGATATCACTGAGTCTCACATATGTCAGTCAACCGAACCAAGTTATTTTCTCGTCAAGTTTCCATCAAACTTAGGGCCCTAATCCGATACACTGATTATAAGTGTTGTATATGACGTACACGCAAGAGTTAGATGTGTTAGGGTGCATAATATAATTCCTACTATCTTTACAAAGGACCAGAATCCACACACTGCATGTGTGAAAGTTATTCTCACGGTGGACCTCTCCCCCCACCTGCGTACACGATGCAGTGTCCCAGCAACATCCGAGCGTCAACTTCACCGAATTCCATTACACCAAGCCCAATGTGTAGTCCAGCTACGCCTCCTTACATACCGGTATAACATCACGCATGCTGCACACACGCACGCACGCACGCACGCGAGAGAGAGAGAGAGAGAGAGAGAGACAGAGAGAGAGAGAGAGAGAGAGTATGTGTGTGTGTGTGTGTGTGTGTGTGTGTGTGTGTGTGTGAGAGAGTGAGTAAGTGAGTTGGGTTTTACGCCAGTTATATTCCAGCTATCCACGGCGGCCCCATGTCAAGTAATATTTCATTGAATGAAGTGTGAGAAGTTCTTTAGTATTATGTATGATTGTATATGTATAATTTGGTATAATTGTATGTATACGTAGAATTGTGTGCAGGGGTCAGCATATTTTCCATGATGAGTGGAGGTCGGGGTTGTGTTGTTGGATCATATATACTACAGTTGGTTGGTTTGTTGTTTAACGCCGCACTCAGCAATATTCCAGCTATATGACGGCGGTCTGTAAATAATCGAGTCTGGACCAGCCATCCAGTGATTGAAATCATGAGCATCGATCCACGCAATTGGGATACGATGCCATGCATCAACCAAGTCAGCGAGCATGACCACCCGATCCCGTTAGTCGCCTTTTACGACAAGCATAGTCACCTTTGACGGCAAGCATGGGTTGCTGAAGACCTATTCTACCCCGGAATCTTCACGGGTCTATATACTACAGTGATGTGCTTAGTGCACAAAGCTATGTTGTGCATATACAGTGCTACTGGTACTTTACAATATACATGTTTAACGCAAGTTTTGCAATGAAAGTTATATTGCAGATAAATATTTTTTTCTGATTGTGCAAAGTACGAGGGCAAATCGAAAAGTTCTATTCCCCACTCAGACACCAATATTCCGAACTGATTAGTCCATGCTTGAGCTCCTTAATACTGAGCGGCAGGCAAGTACCATCTTTTAACGCTCTTTAAAACAATAACAGTTCATGGTATACGGTTACATAAAAATAGAAGATAGAAATGTATTTTCATCTATAACATTGCTTGCAGCACACGCCAGAATAGTGAACAACAAACTTGTGCCGTGTCACCAAGTGTGACGCAACATCCGCTACACACACACGGGAAGTGGAGGGCACTCGACCTTCAACCTCCAGCCGGGCGTTCCACTTGTGTGAATACTGCAAACTCAGACCTGCAACTTTCGGAATACGTCATGCAGTTAGGAGAGATCAACCATTTGATAATATGGGTAATGGAGTGGGGGGGTGGGGTTGGGGGTGGGGATACAGGGACAAATACTTGAAAAAAATAATTATGCTTCACACTGTTGAAACAAAAGAAATTGTCTGCTACAAAAATACATAGTTGCAAGATGTTTTGTTTTTAATATTTAGTCTCAAAGTTTTGATTATAAAAATATATCTGGTTTTGTAGCTGTAACTTAAGTACCGAAAAGTGATTACGTGCTATATCAAACTATGAAACGAGATAACTTTGATCCAGAGGATCAACACGGCGCAAAGACATTTTGTATTATACGTACCATTTGATGACAGTACTTACTCTGTCAAAAAGCGCACATGTGAAACCCAGAAGATAAAACAAACTGTAAACTGCATGGTGTACCGTCAGAATCTGGAATGTTAATATGGCACATTTTCAGTTCAACTATTTATGTAAAATATATATCAAATACTAAACGAGTTCCCATATAGTACCAATTTTATTTCGCTCGTCAGATACCAGAACTATTCGCGGGTTGCATTAAATTGGTACTACACGGGGCGAGTTTAGTATTTTATTT